AATATTTTGTTATTATACAAGATGTAAATTGCACATTTTATTGGACAATTTGCTGTAATAAAAGAATTTTTTAGTTTCACTATTGAACTTGATTCTCGATTTTCTCTTGCCATTGCATTGTTTGGTTCGATTAATTGCTTTGTCCAAGTCTTGTAATGCTTTTTGTTATTGCATTCTATAGACCTTGACCACGCCTAGTCATAAATGATAAATGATAGTATAAAATAGCAAAAGCTCTTGACATGTGAACAAATGAGTAATAAATATTCGAAAGTAAATTATATAGTGCTTTCAATAAAAAATTAGCAAACTTGATTCTATAAATTTAAGTATTTACAGTAACATGTTCGTGTTCAAAATTCATAGGCTGAAATTTGTCTAATTGGTTAATAAAAATTAATTGCTTGGGTAACTTATTTATATGTTTTAGAGTACTTTTTAAGAATACAACATTACACAAGTAACCATTCTTAACAAACATCATCTTTAGCTTCGAAGAGGTGCTAGAAAGCTAACTTTAAAAATAATCTCTAATTTAAGAAAGGTTGGCTTAGACATGACTTTCTACAAGAGGTGAAGAAAAAAAGATACTTAAAATTTTAAAATGCACAAAAACAAAAGTAGTTATTAACAAAACAGTTGTCTTTTTTAAAGCTTGAGATTTCAAGTTAGATATTTGAAACAAAACAAACTTGTTTGCATGAGAGATCTAGACTTTACATTTAAGATATTCTTAATTTGTTAAAGCATACAGGTTTATTTAACTATAGATATCAATAGATAGTAGGGTTAGTTATTTGAGCTTTGTTTTAGTAATGAGCACCACTTTTGCCCTATTCTATATACGTCTATCTTTTATATGTATGTAATTTAATAAATCATACGTATTTACCAATTTATACTTGAAGTTTTTATTTCTAGCACTAGTACTGCAATATTATAAAATAACGGATTACAAATTGTGTAATTTGATTGGCTAATAATCCTATGTAAATCTACAAATTAATTCATGAAGCTAGCCAATCAGAGAATTTCTGTCTATAAGTATAACAGATCACTTGACCAATTTGACTGATCTAATTGATGATCAAGTTGGTCAGATGGTCAAATTGGTCTGTGTAACCAAATCATTGACTGATTTGACTAGTAGAGGATACTCAGACCAGACCAGTCACTGGTCATATTGGTCTGGTCAAATGGTCAAATTGGTCTGGTCAAGCCAACTCTGATTACAAATATAATAGCTAGTATAAAATCTATAAATTAACTACTTAAATAAATAACTAAAAGTTATATATATAACTAGTTGTATACTTATCTTATACAAATTATATATATATAATAAAACTAAAATAAAATAAAGGAATAGGGTCCTATAGCCTAGTGGTCTAGGTGGCCCTCCCTCTACAGACAAGGTCGATGGTTCAATTCCAGCTGAAGGCAAACCTCTGTAATCTACAGAAGCATATGAATGTATGCGAAGCCCTGTAGCTTAAGTCCATGTGAATAGAAGATCGGTATATAAGAAAGTTCTCAGAAAGAAGTTTCTTGATATGAAGAGTTGGTGCTCGATGCAAAAGAAGTAGTGAACATACCAGAAATAGAGAAAAGGCGTACTAGCGAGTGATACGGTGAATATAAAAAGGAAACTATGAGAAAGGAATAGACTTACTGAAACTCGAACACCTCTGGCACCAAAATCAGCTTAGTGAATACAAGATACACTAATACAGATAAAATCTAAGAGGGTAATCTTGGTACCATAATTAGTAAGTTTGTGTCAAGGGTAAATTCGAAGGACTATGGATACTCAGTAACATCCAATAAGGTGATATCTTGATATAAATAGTAATTAGATAGCCCTAACCTAGTATGTTCATGTAGTAATAGAAGGTTGTAATGCATAGGATTGAAAATCAGAAAGTTTAAATAGGGGATTTACAGGTGGATCTCAGATATAGTAGCTAGTGGGTAACTTTCAGGTGGAACCCTTAATTAGATAATGACTAAAGTTATACATGTGGCTAGTTATAGTTTTGTTGATAAACTATGTATTCATTAATAACTAGATATTACTCAATAAAAGACAGACAGGCAAGATTGTCGCTTAAAAAAAAAAAAAAAAAAAAGTCAAGTAGAAATGTGAAATTTAACAAAGAACAACATATTTGAAATGTTAAAAAGATACAGAAAAATAATAAAATTTTTTTTATGAAACTGTCTGATCTAAAAGATCAGAGTGAAAAGAAAAATAAATGCATCTTGATTCTAAAAAATCAATGTGAAAAAACTAGATGCCCTGGAACATAAGAACAAATTAGCCAAATTCTTACAGAATTTGTTGATGTTTTTAGAAAAAAACAAGAATTTTCTACAAGAGTAAATACAAAAGAAATACTTCAGATAGAATTAAACTTGAAAGGAAAAATGAAAGATAGTAAAGTATCTATAAGAGATAAAAGACAAAACTTGCGCAAATATAATAAAAAAAATAAAAAAGTTATTAAAGAAATAAGAGATGATTTAATTAAAAATGTCATAATATTTAGTAGAAATACTGAATAGGCAAGTTCAGCTATAGTAATAACTAAAAAGATGAAATGAAGAAAATAGCAATAGATTATAGGATGCTAAACAAATACTTAGAACAGTATAGAGAACCATTACCAGACTCTAAGCAAATATTGCAAAAAGTTAGCAATATATATATTATATAACAATAAATATAAAATCAGAATATTGGCAATTAGTAATACATGAAAACTGAAAAAATATAAAGTGACAACATTCGCAAAATATGGAATATATTGTTGGCATACATTATTATTTGAAATAAGCACAGCATCAGCATACTTAATACAAGCAATAAATAAAATATTAGAATACTTAGATTATATAGTAATCTATATAGATGACTTTGTAATTTATTGAATAATAAATTTGAGGCCAAAATAAAATTACCAGAAATGTTAAGATGCTTAAAAAAAGTAGGCCTAAAGATTAAACCATCTAAATGTAAATTTCTTATTTAAGAAAAAATTATATTAAATTATAAAGTATTGTATGAAAAATTAGAAAAAATGTTTTGAAAATTAATAAAATAGACAAATTCACTACTCCTAAAAACAAAACAGAATTGCAAAAATTTTTAGGATTTATGAATTATTTTAGATCTTTTATTTTAAACTTTGCAAAAGTGGCATTACCACTATATGGATTAGTAGGAATAGCAGAATTTAATTGAACTGATAAATGTCAAAAAGCAATAGAAGAACTTAACAATAAGTAAAAAATAAACTAATACTATCATTCCCAAATCCAAACAAACTATTTTTCATGAAAACAGATGCTTTAAATTATGCAATAGGTGCAATATTATTCAACAAGAAAATGAATCACAAGATCAATAGAAGGTAAAAAAATCTCTAAAAAAGAAAAACTTATTATGAAGAAATTTAATAATTTCTACAAATCACCAAAAGATAACAAGACCATTATAGAAATTAGATTACATGGCCTATCTGTAACACAGAAAAATTGGCCAATAACATTAAAAGAAATGTATACAATATATTACTTTGTAAAACAATAGAAACATTACATAGAAACACAAGAGTTATATATATATTCAGATGCAACAAAAGTTACAGCAAATAAAACTAGATGATATATTAATAAAACATTAGATAATTATGAGCAGAACATAGACAAACAGTCAACCTTTATATACACAGGATAGAAGATATGCGAAACTTTGCAGCAGATTTTCTAACCAGAGAAACAACAGATAAATTACAACAATTGGAAGAGTTAAAGCAACTTAAGAAAAAAAAAATCCTTTATTAAAATATAATTAACTAGAGTCATAAAACTTATAATTATCAATATCAATACTCTTGCTAGAATTATAAAAATAATAATTATTGTAAATACATTCTCGATTAGAATAAATTTCTAAATTAAAAACTTCAAAAAAATTCTCAAAAAGGTTAAGAGCATCAAAAGAATCAATTCTGGATAACATAGACTAAGAAATTCTGGAAGTAGAAGAATGAACCTTATTAACAGAAAGATCTATAATAGAATAAGAGTTAAAACAATAATATTTGATTGTTATGCACTATGGGACTAAGATAGTTATCTCTAACTACTCCAGTCTGGCAGTGCATAAAAATCCAACAACAAAAAAATACCTTACCATTTTTGAGAAATAAATCAACAAAAATTGATGAAAAATCTGTACATAGAAGTTGAAAAGAAGTATAACAAAAAGTATACTGATTATTTTAGAAATTAGAACCAAAGAAATCATATAGCCAAAAATGATAATCACAAGTCAAAAAGTAATAGTAAAAGATTGAGCCAATTTTATCAGAGTTGGGACAATTCTCAAAGAAAAAATAGATAAAATCTTTAAGAGAAATTATAATTCTTTTAAGAAAAAAAAAATCTTTAGAATAACCAAGAATAGAATTATCCAATATAACTAATCTACTATCATAACTCTTAGAAAAAAGATCAGATGAATAAGACTTTGAGGGGTGTGGCGACCTAGTGAAGTGGATAGGTTGTCAACCCCCAAGTGGCAGGTCTAGAGTTCAAATCCTAGTGATGG